AATGATTCTGTGATTCTATGATTCTACCATATGAGCATTTTCATTACACTATTCAGATACTTCTTCAGATTGAAACTAATTTATTTTTGAAACGTATTTTTTTCTGTTTAATAGCAACAACAGACCAGCAAGCAGCCTCATTTGAAATGGAAATGTCTCAAGCTGGTTTCAGTGCTCATTATTCTCAGGTAAGCAAACTGTTTGAAAATAGGAGTTCTTTTACAAAGTAGATTTTTTTGGTGACGGCATAAATTTGGAATGAGTATTTCAGAATTCTTTGTACAGTCCTGTTTGCTGTTGGAAGTTTCCCATAATCCAGTTATTTTTTGTAAAAATGTATATAAAGAATTATTATAAACAATGAAAGCTTAGGAGAATAAGTACCTTCTTCACAGGAACTCTAAATTTAATGCTCCCATAACACTTTCTACCAGGAGAATAATCTATGATATGTTAAGAAAGACACAGAAAGAATTTTTACCAGGGCCTATAGTGACAGGACATGGGGCAACGTTTTTAAACTGAAAGAGGGTAGATTTACATTGGATATAAGGAAGAAATTTTTTATGATGAGGGTGGTGAGACACTGGAACAGGTTACCCAGAGAAGTGGTGGATGCCCCATCCCTCGAAATGTTCAAAGTCAGGTTGGATGGGGCTTTGTGTAAGACATCCCTGCCTATGGCAGCCGTGTTGGGAGGTCTCTTCCAACCCAAGCCATTCTATGATTCTATGAACTATAAAACTGTTCTCTCTAAATATTAATGTGTAAATTGATATTGCATTATATTGGTGAAATTGAGCCAGAGGATATGTAAAAAGGATATTCTGTTATGGATATGATCTGCATCCTTAGTAACACAACATATTCTTAGTTCTGTTAACACATTGAATACCTCAGTCCTCAGGGGGTAAATATTTATTAAACTGGGATGCAAAAATCCCTGAGAATTTAATTGAGCAGAAAATCACTCCCTATGTATTTTATTTATTCTTGAAAAATCAAAATGTATCCATTGTGGTGATCTGCTCAGTGTACACAAATGAAATTAAAATTGAACATGAGATCAAAAGAACTGGGAAGAATTAAGCTTTAAAGACAGGAAAAAATAGTGACAGTGGAAAGGAGAGTTACAACAGGAGAGTAACTGAACTGAACAAACACCAAGCAATCCAAGACAAACTGTTATGCATAGGAAAACCTTCAACATGGTTCTGTATACTCAGCATATCACCGGTAAAAAAAGAGAATAAAAGACCTTCAATATGATTTAACTTAAATACTTTATTGCCAGAAGTACTCTCCGTTCATTTTTATTCTCTGCACTAGATTACACAATCATTACATGATTCTTCAGATTGTGTATCATACCTTAGAAACAAGTATTACCCTGATAGGGAGAGCAAGAATTATTTATAAGATTATCTATTTGGTAGAGCATATTCTTGAAGTTCACAAACAACTAACCTGCTATCATCTGAACCTCACTTCAGAAGTGGGTCTTCAGTCCTTGGTGCATTGACAGACTCAGGGTCTCTGGTGTCTGTCTTATCTAGAAGGCTACGTTCATGCCTTTAGGCAAGAAAGGTCAGCAAACCATTTCTCATTGACAAAAGGCTCTTGCACAATATACGAGACTCACAGATTCAACAGAGAAAGGTTCAAGTTTCTGAAATTTTGTCTGGGGAATGCATTTAAGTGTTGTGTTCTGTGATTAGCTTTGCTAAATCCGTTTTGTCTTTCTATTTGGCCTGCAATGGTGGGCTGAAGTTGTAGGACCTGTGTTTCATTGTGCTGCTTCTCCTGAATGTCTTTTTTTTCCTTTTTTTTTCTTTTCTCTTTTTTTTTTAAGTTGGGTGCATTTTTAACAAAAACTGGGAGACATTCTATGATTTTAGGGGCCATACCGTAATAGGAAAAGCAGGGCTAAATATGTAAGTATACAGGAAGCATTACCCAAATGTGAGCATCATGATCAATGAATGTTCTAAAGATGGTTCACATAGAGAACAGGCTTTTTGTTTTTCTCTGCATAAGGATTGGATCATGCTTGGAGCAGTTGGAGCATATGACTGGAATGGCACAGTGCTCATGGTGAAGGACAGTGGTATTTCAATGCCAACTAATGACACTTTTCGTGACAGACTTTCAGAAAAAAATGAACCCCTTGCAGCCTATCTAGGTAAGAGAAATAGCCCATCTTATAATGCTTTTTGACAAATGCTACAAGACCTCTCTCAAATCTCATTCAGAGATTCTGTAAGAGAGTATCTTACAGAATATTATCTTATATTATAGGAGCCTGGGAAAATTTATTATGTATGGACATGTCTACTGTATGATTTTCTTTTCTTTTTAAAAAACAATTACTACTACTACAATCAGAAAACTAGTCCAAACACTTACAGACCTAAGTATATCTAGACTTTCCCCAATAGAGATGTCTAATCTGTTCAGAGATTTCATAGATTCCTCTAGTATTCTTCTCAAGTTTTTCTATGCCTTAACAGTTAAAAAGTTTTATACAATATTCAGTCTAAATCTTTGCTTAAAATTAAGCTGATTTGTGTTACTCAATGGACAAGAACAACAGTTTACCACTATCTTTTTTATATTAATGTTTTGCATAGTGGCAGGTTATTGTTTTCCTCTCAGCCTTTTCTACCAAAAAACATCAGTGGCCTTGCTCTCTTCTTTAGGACTTGCTTTCTACACCTCATGGTTCTGTTTGTTCTGTTATCTCATTTAAGCCATGTTTTCACTGATGAAGAACCAACACTAGAATAATTCCATTTTTTCCTCTAAGTACACTGTTTGTCTCCTTTGCAGAATGTCATTAGCTTTTTTGGTTTTTTATATCTCAAATTTGGTAAAGTCATTTGAAATTTAGATCCTATCCTCCATAATACTTGCAACTCTGCCACAGTTTTGATTCATCTGCAAATTTTTTAAGTCTTCCTTCACCCAAGTTGTTAAATTGTTGTTAATATTAAACAGAGCTAGGTTCAAAATGCCCCCAGAATCACATTTGGAAGTATCCATCAGTTTGACAGTGAGACAGTGACAACTGTTCTTTGAAAGTAGCTTTTCAACTAGCTGTTCACAAGTTATTTCATCAGTACAATCATATCACACACTGTGTGAGAATAGCAAAGTGAACATGACTCACCGTCCTGTGAACAGGTTTAATAACACAGTGGTGCTCATGACTCTGAGACTATAGGCAAATACACATCCAGCCCTTTTAATTAACTCTGCTATTATTCTCTAGAATAAGTAAGGCTAAACGTTTAGTTGTAGAATAAGTGTTACAAAGGCTCTGAATCACAGGAAGTATTTTTGATGCATTCTGTGTGTACTGCATCTTGACTTCTTTTCTGCTTCCTAGGATACACTGTGAATTCAGCATTGACACCTGGAGGTGTACTGTACATAGCAGGACAGCCACGATACAATCACACTGGCCAAATTATCATTTATAAAATGGAAGGAAGAGAGGTACAAGTACTTCAGAGGTTAAATGGAGAACAAGTAAGTATGAATTCATGATTAACATACGAGAGGAATATGGCATGAGAAATGGAAGTAATGATTTCAGATGAGAACTCTGCATCAGAAGAGCAAATGAAACTGGGAGTTGTAAGCAAGATCAGAAGGAAAGGTTAGGTAGATGCTCTGGTATAGTAAGTAGCAGAAAATGGACTCTACAGTAGTCAAAGACCCTTGGAAATTTTCTCTTTGGGGGTTAAACCTTCAGTAGTGTCAAAGTGGTTGTAGCCATCTCTGTACTTGCAATTTTCTCTGTCTGCTGAGTGGAAAGGGTATGTCACTGGCAAGAAACAGGTGCGACAGGCAGGGTTCTGTGCGAGAGCATCAGCTGGGATAGCATGAAATATTTAATAGCTGCTTGTAATATTGAGTAGCAGCTGCAATTCAGGAGAATTCAGGTTACCTAATTTCACCTATAGCTGATGTCTGCAACTCAGCCAATCAATCAATCCTTTTATAGTCAATAAAGGAAAGCAACCATGTTTAACATTTGGGGGATCTGGCCTACTTGAGGCACCTTCTGTGAGATGAGATGCATCTTGCACTAGAAGGGACTGCTTCTCATGTTGAGTGTAAAGGAAATGCAGGGTGTCTAGCTTAGCTGGGAAGTGATTGTAATCAGATAAATCCCACACCTTGTGCCCAGCCTATGAATGTATCTAGCTCTTTGCGTAGATCTTGTTCTTCTGCATTTAGTGGTAACTTGGTAATTTTGGAGACTGCCTGCACTGTGTTGTCTCAGAGCTACTATCCGCCATCCTACCTTTTTCCTCTGGCAAGCCTACGACCATTGATTTTGCTCTTTCTATGTGTTATTGTTGGGACTGAAAAGAAAACTAGCTTCCCCAAGACACTTCTATTTAAATGCTGTCTTAAGAGGTCCTACTCTCCTTAGCAGGTAGAAGGCACCATTTGTACCTTTCAAACTCAGGAGAGTTGAAAGTTGAATGGACCATTCTTAAACAAAAAAATCTGACAACAAATCCTAAAACAGAAAACAAGCTTCAAAGGCAAACAGGCTAAAAAGGTCGTCTAGGTAGCAAAGAAAATTTCTGCCTAATGGTTAACATTTGTTGTAAGCTTTGTTGTAAGCAACCATAAAATAGGTCTCTGAATAGGAAAAGTTGCATGATGTTGCTGACTCTGTCTCTGATTTATACCTTATATTTTCCTGCAGATTGGGTCATACTTTGGGGGTGTTATCACCACAATCGACATCGATAGGGACTCATTTACAGACCTTCTTCTTGTGGGAGCTCCTATGTATATGGGAACTGAGAAAGAGGAGCAAGGGAAAGTATACGTTTATAGTCTGAACAAGGTAAGAATGATGTTTACTGACCAGGAACAGAACATGCTCCTTACTGTCTTCATATCCTTATTTTAAAGAAATAAGATAATTTGAGTTAGGGAAGATGACGTGTTGAAAACAGAGAAACATCATTTTGACAATTGAGAGTATAAAACGGACTATTTTTGAAAAATTCCTTCTCAGACTTTTGTTTTATTACCTCTTTTTCCCCATGGAATATATTATACGGATAAGCACTATATTCTGGAAGCTGCAATATGGCATAGATGCAAGTTTATAGGATTAATTTTCTGTCACGTTTTCTTCTTGTTTTCACGGATTAGGAAACAATAGGGCTCATCCATCCTAAAAGTATGTGCTCCAGTATCCTTGTGACTTGCTTACAAACCTAGAGCTAAACCCCATACATCCAATAGCTTTTAAACATGTGTCGACTAGATTGAGGAATATACTAGCTACACCTCAACTTCTTAATTTGATAATTCTCTCCTTCCAATGTCTATGCATACTTTTTCTTCTTTTTTTCTTTAGTCCTGTACCATTGTGTATCGTTGTAAAATTATCAAAGTATGTCCTAGCAATGATGGTCTCCTAAAATACTATGGCAAGAAAAGGACCTGAAGAGACTGGATCTATTTGACAAGGAACTCTTCTGGTTTCTATATGCGCGTTGCTAACAACAAATTGCTGGTGAATAGGGTTGGCAAGAAAACAAGAATTCCATGTCCTCCAGTAATGTGAGGGTTTGAAATTTGTTTTTCCTTGCTTCCTTTTATCCATCTTCAAATAAAGAAGATGCAGCAACTGCTTGCTGCTGCTAATCTCTAACATGGAACTCATGGGGCCAATCTCTTGGAAAGACTGGTTACATACCATAGTGTATGTGTGGTTTTGACCTAAGATGCACACCGGACCAGAAGAATATATATGTTAGGCCAAGGAGTATGTGTCTACTGAGGACAGAATTCAGTCTATGTAAGAGAAATGCTGTCTTTTGTTCTGGAATAACAGTATTGCCATCTGTGTTTCATCAGAAACTTGGCTTACTTCTCAGATTGAGAGAATGCCTTTAGAAGAACTCTTTACACTATCTTAAGAATGAAGTAGTTTACTTACAATAACATCCAAATATTGTTATGATACTAGTCTTTCCTGTGAACCTCTTACTTCAAGAAATATGCAGAAGCATCTAGATGCACAAAGAGAGGGAGCAAGAATGTCTTTCCCAACCGCTGCTCAGAAAGAACATCTGAATTATAGTTACAGAATCAGTTTCTACAGTGTATGCAATCACTAGGAATAGGATGTAATTGTTTAATTTAATTCATCAGTTTGTCTTCTGGACAGGAGCTCTTAAAAACCTGCATTGCAAAAATGTTGACGGAAATCCACAAACTCTAAATCTGTTCTTTCACAGACAAAGTTTGAATATCAGATGAGTCTCGAACCTATAAGGCAAACATGCTGTTCGCCGTTAAAACAGGACACCTGCAAAGTTCTTAAGAATGAGCCTTGCGGTGCACGCTTCGGGACTGCGATTGCGGCAGTGAAGGATCTCAACCTTGATGGATATAATGACATTGTAATAGGTTCTCCCTTAGAGGATGATCATCGGGGAGCTGTTTATATTTATCATGGCCATGGCAACACAATCAGTAAAAAATATTCGCAGGTATGAAGTAAAACTTTACAGATTGGCAGCCGCTGTAAGTATATGTAACACAAATCCTGTTTTCCGATGTCTTCCCAACATAGGATCAAACTGTGACTTCACCTGTCATGTCAGCTTCTTTTTTAAAATGCTCTGTACTTTTAGACTCAGTATGATTTAACTGAATTTGATTCTAATAATGTTAGAAAATATATTTGCTTATTTTTATTAGAAACCCTCTGAAATGTTCTGTTCAGCCAGAAAAGTAGATATTTTGCAATTCTGAAAATTTATAGTGTGTTCATCACCATGGTAACCCTTTTAGGAGTATTGTAATGAAAATCTAATATATTTAAGGAGTCCACAAGCCATCTAACTGCCAACAAATGCATCTTGAATGTTCTTATAAAATCCTTCAATATGCACTGCATAAACCTCTTAATGCTTTTCACAGCGTATTGCATCAGGTGGAGATGGGGAAAAAGTGAAATTTTTTGGCCAGTCTGTGCACGGAGAAATGGATTTAAATGATGACGGGCTGATTGATGTCACCATTGGAGGCCTTGGTGGGGCTGCCCTCTTCTGGTACGGATACTCACAGCAGCTGTCAGGCCAGAAAATAACCGTTTGTCTTGGCATACCGATGTAACTTGCATGCACTACTGTTTGGACTGTTGTGAGGATACTGGTTTGATCTCGTGTTTTGACACTGGCTGTGAATCTTCATATTTTCATGTCTCTCTGGAGGAACGAGTATAAAACTTAATAGACAGCAGTAATACATATAGGAATGTTTTAGAAAACTTGTTAGCCTAGCATGAAGACCTTGTCCTCCTAGACCATATTCAAAATAGAAACTGATTCCACTCGTGGCACTGAGTAAAACAGAAAAAAACCCTAAGTGTTCTCTTTTTCATACTATATTGCATATTATTTTATTAGCAATATCAAGGACAGGTTAAAATGTAAAGGGGTCACTAAGAAAACTCATTTGACTTCCTAATAAGAAAACTCTAGTTTGACTACAGAAAATCTTGGAAAAAGTTAACTAAACTTTCAGGTTAACAGTGAATTCATTTTCTTTACAAAAGAGCGTGATTCAGATGGCATAATGAGCAATATATTTTTTAAGGGAGAAGAGAAAGATACCAGTAAGAGAAATAAACAAGGTAACATACAATCCCTCATTTCTAAAGCACAACTAAAGCCATCTCTCTGGTAAGGCAATTGCTAAGCCAGCTCCTTGCTTTCCCTGTCCTGCTGTTCCACCTAACTCACCTGCTAGGTGATCAAGTTTGTCAGGTCTTGCTACCATCCTCAGGATGCCAGCTTCTCCTCACCTTCATCTAGTCGTTTGTCTTTCTAAAAGCTCTGTGTGTGAACACAATGAGATGCCCCTTCACTGCATTGTTTAGATCACAAATCTGAAGAAAGCTATTTTGCCAACTAATTTTTCTGCTGGTTTAGTACACTGGCATACCCTGTCTCGAGGCCAAATGGAACTGAGCCAGAGCAAAGGGAGAGGCAGGAATTCGTTGCAGGGACAGGGGCAAAAGGGAGCTAAAGTGAAGCAAATTGGTAGTTAAACTCAGCCTGTTTATCTACCCACAGCCTAAGAGATGGCACACTACCCTCCAGCTCATGTATAATATGTTCATCTGTGGATACCCTCAAGCATGGGTCTGGGCCTCCAGCCTCTTTTAAAATGGGACTGGCTGTATAGAGTTGCTTAAACGCTTTTGAAAATATTTCCTTTCATCTGGTATCTGTTCTGAAACAACTGGGGAGAAACTCTGTGACCATTTCCTCTGTAATTTGTTGTTTACTGGTACTATGTATAGCGTGTATAGTTAACTATTTGTCTAGACCATCACATATGTGTATTTTAATATTGAATGTTGCACATTTTGTAATTTCATTCTTAAGTTAAAAAAAGTTGCTGCTATTATTTTCAAGACGCTTTCTTTCTTTGTGTTTTTGTTAAGGTCTCGTGATGTGGCTGAAGTAAATGTTTCCATGCAATTTACACCCAAAAGCATCAATATCCAACAACAAAATTGTCAGATAAATAAAAGAAAAACAATATGTATAAATGCCACAATTTGTTTTAAGACCAGACTAAAGTCGAAGGAAGATACATTTGAATCCAGTAAGTAGATAAGCACTAAGCTATGGAATCTTTACACTATAAAACTGCTATGCTCACATTTGCTTATTTCTCCAAAAATGGAACGCAGCTCTTCTAAAGTCACTATTCCAAGTGCATTTAAGATATTGGGGGAAAAAAGAATGTGTAGGGGCAAATTGGTTCATAATATTGATCTCAGCTTCCTTTGCAGGTCTGCAGTATTGGATTACTCTCGACTCACAAAGACAAGTATCTCGAAGCTTGTTCACAGAAAGCCATGAGAGGAAAATGCAAAAAAATATAACTATCAAAGGGTCGGAATGTATTAAACATAACTTCTACATGTTGGCAAGTAAATCATTTAAAGTGTTTTTCTCATGTTGACATTATAATAACCCAAACGTATTCCATTAATTGTAAATTGGACAACAAAATCTGCATCCAGATTTAATCTTAAGAAGTGTACATAAAATTTGTTTACTGCTTAGAATTTATGTATTTGTATATGTATATAGATACAAACTATTTACTTATATGTACAGGCTGTTTACCTTTGTCTCTCTGTTTGTGTCTGTCTTAAGAAAAAACGTAACACGCTTAGTGGAACCAAGCAGCTATCGTGGTTAGTAGTTTAGGTGCATTCAAAACTCAGCAGCCACATGTGAGCTGGAAGTCTAGTTTGCATATTGGTGCAATTCCTCCTGTAAAATATAGTAAAAAACTCAAAAATTAGGTTTGGGATAGAGAATACTTATTCACTGCAAAACAGAAATGTAATTAGCAACTGTGAGTATGAAATTGCCGGGATTGTAACTAATGTGCAGAGTGAATGGACGTGTATATTATAAGCTACCCACATTCAGAATGTTTAGTGACTTCACAGTTGTATCATAATTCAAAACTAATGACAAATTATGCCCAGAATTTGCTTGAATATGCAATACATGTCCTAACAGCAGGCCTCAGTTTGACTTCACACAAGGTGATACTGCTGGTGTTCGTCTTACTGATCCTTTAAGCACAACTAAAAGAGGAAAGTCTATGAGTTGACTGTTCTGAGACATTCTTAAAAGAAACTGTGTTGGATATGCTCAGACTATGTGATATTTTTATGATGAGATGAGATACACAAAAACATTAGTAGATATTTATAAGGATTGGCTTGCACATTAAATGCTTTATCATCAATTGCAAGCATTCAAATGCTTCTCTAGCAAGGATGGTGACAGTGCGATTGAAAAATATTTTACCTCAGCATTGTTTGGGGTTTTTTTAACTTCCTTAGATATTTAAGTGAATGTCCATAACAGCAATTTTGTTTTCTTTATGTTCTAGGATAAGCCTGACTTCCAGGACTCCGTAAAGGTTTTGCTGGAGTTCAGTTTTTCTGATCCAGAGAGTGGACCTGTTCTTGATAGCAACCTGCCAAATTCAATATCTGAATATGTAAGTCAGCAAGATTCTGTATTAATAACCAAAGTATTTAAGGTAAAATTCGTAGCCCACAAAAGAGCTGAAAATATTGTCCACAAATTGGCTAAAGAGGGAGGGTCGTTGAGCCTGTCCAGACCATGTTTCCTCTAAATGAGTCTTCAGGAGTGAAAAGCTTGATGCAATGTGCTTGGGAACTGGCCTGGGGTTTTAAAGCTCTCCAGAGTTAACTGAAGATAGAAGAGAGCACAAGCAATTTTATTGTCCTTTTTTACATAGATAGAGCAGGGGAATGTTAGTCATGTACTTCGACGATGCTTGGCATCATTCATACTTCTACTGTTGCCTCTTTTTCTGATCTAGATGAATCAGAAGGGAATGAGAAGAAATGCACAGGTGAAACATAACCTTTTACAGGGTATTGGCATGTTTAACTGACTGATATTAGGGAAGAATTCTTTGGTTGTCAAACAGAAGACCTTATATAAAATTAGATAATGAATTAAAATGCAAATATTAAATTTGAATAATAAATGTAATAAAATTGAGAATAAAAATACTATTGTTGCAGATTCCTTTCACAAAAGATTGTGGAGCCAAAAATAAATGCATTTCAGATCTTGTTCTGAATGTAAAAGCAAGCATAGCTGGAGACAGGTAACTACACTGGGTTTATTGTATCACTTGATATCTGTACAAAATTTCTATGTAAATTATAAATCCTGTAATCTAATAAGATAATGCTGTGGCATAATTTCCAAATCAGAACAATATAGTCTGTACACTGAAAGAAGTTCCTCTTTATGTTAAAAACAGATTCAAAAGTTAAAATGTCCAACGTTCTTACTTTATTTTACAGCTCTTCTCCATTCATTGTAAAGTCACGCAATGATAAGTTCACCATCCAGCTCTCTGTGAAGAACAAAAAAGACAGTGCCTATAATACCAGAGTTTTGGTTCAGTATTCTCCAAATATTATTTTTGCTGGCATTGAGGTAGGAATTTTTCACATTATCATATTTATCATAACTTATATTGCTAGAGAGATCTGAGGAAGCGTTTTTATTAAGCCTGAATTTCACTGCTCTGGCATCATCTCAGTTGATTGGAAGTGATTCCCTGGGAGTGCTGTCCTTGCTTATCCCTCGAGTGTATTTATTTTGACCTGAGGGGACTCTTGCCTAGCCTCCGTTAACTACAGATGCAAGTTTCACAATGACACTTAGACAGTAAGTGCATCTTAGATGAACGTCAGCACCATGAATCATCTGTACATCTGTAGAGCCAGAAATGCCTTTTTATTCGTCAGTAAGCTCCTGAGCCTCTAGAATTCTCCTTTTGCACATGTATAGAAAAAGCACTGTCTGGTAAGGCAGCATAGATCAGTGCCTGCCTCATCCCTACCTCAGACGGCATTTCCAAAGTAGCTGTTTTTCTGCCTGCCTTAGCAGATATGCTATGAATTCACTTCAGTTCAGGTGGAAAACATTAGGAGAAGTTTGTTTTCAATCAACAGTCCTGGTGTTGCACTTTAGGAGAAGTCAGGGATCCATAGCACTGTTGCTGACCCTGTGGCAATAATTTACAGAGTATGAATGTCACTTCTATTGCCAAGTTAGGAACACAGTTACAAAATTACGTGTAAATACTGTGTACTTATACATATGTTGATCTGCTAGACCCCATGACTAATTTGCATGATGTCCAGTTTGTATATAATTGCTAATGTTCCAAACACTTTCACTGGAAGGGAATAATGGCTGCTAATTGATGTAGATGTCCATAGGTGGAAATTGTTTTGCAGAAGTTGTGGCTTCCTATTTTTGTTCCAGTTCAATTAAGGCTTTGACTCCTACGATGTTTTGATGATGAAAAGCGGCAATGGCGTATATGTTCAACAGGCCCTTGATGCTTAGTCAAAATTTAAAAAGAGTTTGCACAAGGTCATGATTTCTCTTTCTTTTTCCTTTAGGATATACAGAAAGATAGCTGTGAATCTAATCACAACATCACCTGTAAAGTGGGATATCCATTTCTAAAACCTGCAGAAGAGGTAAAAAGTCCCTCTGCATGCAAGTTCTCCTTGCTCCATGTTGTTCCTATCACCTCTGAATTTCTTTTCTCTTGTGTTCACCCCAAAACCTGTCCATGCATGTATCCCAAGCTATCCTTGATGTGAACTGCACTGAGCCAGACAGGAAAACATCAGGTCTTCAGTACCTGGGCAGTCAGATGTGGTACGTGAGGAGGTAAAAGGCGCATATTGCCATCATTGACACTGACAGAAGGCAAGTGGCATGCATGGCCAGAAGGGTCTGTCTTCAGAAGTATAGGATATTGGTTAGGATATACTGATGAGACATTAGGTATTGTGGCGTTCCACAGGTTGGAGCCTATGACTTCAGTTATTTTGTATACAAAATTTAATCAGATGGTTGAAAAGAGAATAAGCTGGTATTTGGAAATGCTAACCTGGATCTGCCAAAAACAGATCTTAAAATCAAGCTGCAGCTTGAACAGCTCCAGTGATAAGTCTGTATCTCCTGCTGGAATAGAGAGGGAGCTTTAGCTAAACTTAGCCTTTGAAAATAGGCATCTAAGCCTCACTTAAATAGTTCTGATATTGAATTGAGAAATATCAAATTGCATTCAAATAAGATCAACTGTCTTTCCTGGCAGTTTCTTGTCTGTTCCTCTGTCATACTGTATTGCCATACTCCATCAGACTGCCAGGTCTGTATTGCAGATGCATAACAGAGGGAGGACATTGCCTCCCACGTGCTCGTTCCAGCTTGTGTCTTGGACTTGTAGGAATTAAGTCAGCTGTTATTTTCTTGCAGCCAAATAAGCATAGTACCCAATGCCAGTGCCCACAATGCTCCATTCCCAGCTTTACTGGATTTTTCACATTTTCCTTCCATGCTTTGCTTGTTAGTTTGTCTGTAGCTATAGGTCCTTAAATTTAGAAATTTCATACTCTCCTTTGCATTCAGAAATCAATTAATCTCTGATTCACTGATAAGCATCCCTAATACATTCCTTTTTAAAGCCTCTTCCTGGCTTTTTTTTTTTTTAATATGAAGAAATATCTAAGACAACTTTCTCTGGGTCACTTTGTAATAAAGATTTGTGTATGTTAAAGGAAAAATAAAAGTCTGAGCTGAAAAATCCTGTGCAGTAACAAATAATAAAACTTTTGCTTCATATAAAATTGCCCTTAAGTGTCAGGATGTGAAGAGGGACATGTTTGGGACAGTGTTCCCAAATCTTGTGTAGTACCAAACTGTGATAGATTTGCCCTAATTATAATGAGTAGGGAATTCTAGTGAGACCTAGTAGTCATTTATTTACACTGTAAACATTTCTGTTCAGTATTCTAGGTGTTTTACTATATTCCAGCAGCCTTCTATAGGCAGCTCATCTCCACTGTAATCTCCAGGCTTTGAAGCCAGGCTTTGAAGCTTTGTTTCTTCCTCACTGGAGAAAAAAAATGGTTTTGATAAATTGCTTGCAAGACCAGTTTGTTTCTGTTAAGAATTACTTAGCTATGCATTTTTAATATACTATATAAGTTTTACTGAGGCTTCTCAGTTCAGAAAATTTGAGGCTTCTGTTTAGTAAGTGATAACTATTCCTTCTTGGTTGGGACAAATCAAAAAACGTGGATTTGTTCGTAGAAAAGTGTTAAAATGTGAATAAGTATTCCACATACAAAAGTAGCAAAATTTTACTCATTTTTTATCAGATCAAACCTTATTAGTGTGCTTTTATTTCTGGTTTTTTTTTTGCCTTTTGAAATGTGTAATGTATTTCTCCAAACAGATTTCCTTCAAAATATCATTCCAATTCAATGCATCGTGTCTCCTGGAAAATGCTACTCTTCACGTATATGCAACAAGGTTAGTTGCGATCATTGTTTGTTTGCTTTCCGATTTTTTTTTTCTTAGAAAGCTCTACAGCTTTGTGTTTCACAGTAAAACAAGGATGACTTTTCTGAACTCAGAAGTGGTTAAACAATCTGTAGAGCTGGCAGCTTTACAGATGTACTTGGTCCAGCAGTGGACTGAGTGGACTAAATAAATAGCTATTTGTCTTTAGAGCCTGAGAGTCACAAATGAGTCATAATTTCCAGTAGTTGTACCTACAGAAAAGGTTTATTCTCTTACAAAGTTACTGCATGAACCACAGTTTATGCTAAACAAAAAGATCTGGCCTTCAAAGAGCATGAGCATTGCAGAATTTGTGTGTGATGAAGTAAAGGAATGCGCTTGCCCTCAGAGTTTGCTGTCCCTGCAAAATGCAGGGATGGTGTAAGAGTAGTGGCCCTTACTTGGTCCATTTTCATTCAGTCTGTAATTTTAACAAAAATGCGTCTCTGAGCTGGGACTGATGCAGGACTTAACTTTTTAGTTACTAGAAATAGTCTTTTGAATTTATTTTTAGGAGATAGTAATTAACTGGAAATGGTTAGTGTGTTTTCATATCCAGAGCTGTAGGTATCAGTTTCTTAAGATCCCTTCCCACCTAGTAGTCGTGTTGCATGTGCAGATGACTATCACACTCTGATCTGAGTGGCATATGTTGTTTTATTTTAGTGACAGTGAAGAACCACCTGAGACCTTAAGTGACAACAGAGGACACGTTACAATTCCAGTAAAATATGAAGTAGGATTGGTATTCGTAAGGTATTGGTGCTTCTCTGTACTTCTGTTTGCTAGCACAGCAAAGACCAGGTGTTCAAAGAGAATATAGTATTGTTTTGTTGTTGAGCTGTGCTCAGTATCTACAAATGACAGCTTCTAGGCTCATGAATGGAAGCACAGGCTTCATTGAAAAGATCAGTTACGTGAAATAATGGAGCAGTTACTGTCCCTATCTTGCTGTAGCTCCATTGTATCTATTTAAATTTGATCTGCAGTTTGCAAGTACAACAGCAGCTTTTGTTGATTTTTGTACTTTGCTCTATTCATTCAGGGGCGTTTCAGGTACATAAGAAAGCAAATACTTCCAGCTTCCTGATGGCCATGAGTTTGTATCACTATAATATTGCACGGTGTAGTGTTTGATTTCCAGCTTCAAAAATTAGCCTTAATTTTAGATTCTCAGAGGTTTGTTTTTATCAATTCAGACATAAACTTTAATGCAGGTCTTGTAGTACACTTTATTTTCAGGAATAGCTACAATTCAGTTAAGTTTCATCCCTGAAAAACATTATAAATATTATCAGCAAAGTATATTGCATGGTGTGCATGTCTAAAGTCAAATTCATTTTAGATGCATTTCATAGTTCAAATCCAGCCTTTGTTTATCCCGTAGGGAATAAGGTTGAATTTAGAACATGCTGGTTTTGTTCCTTTTTTACTTTATTCTGTCTTTTTTAGGACCCTACCTGTTTCACATGGCAATATTCAGGATAAGGGACTGCACAGAATAAGAAGAGCAAAATCAGGCACTGATATATTATTTTTGGGAACAATATTTACTCATTTTGTAGTTTTATCTGAACAAAACATTTAAAATGTACATAATAAAAAGTGAGCACTACTCAGACAATGGATGAGTTGAACTTCAGTGGAAGTAGCAATGCACTCTTAATTAGAAGACTAGTCCTGGAGGATTCATGAAATAATGAAAAGACCTATATTATTAACTGCTAGAGTTTTTATGAAGTTTTTGTGCTTATTGGGGTTTTTTTCTGTTTTGTTTTTTTTTTTTAATCCGCAGTGTTTTCAAAGAGCACCATGTTATAATTGCAGCAAATGATACTGTCCCTACTGCTATTAACACAACAGAGCAGATTGGGGATGAAGTTACTCTTCATTATAGGGTAAGAAACAATCAAAACTGCATGATATCGGTACTGGCTTCATCTTTTTTTTCATTTGGTTTGAACTACCATTCACATCACTAATGTGATAGCTTATTATTTAAATAGCAGCTGTGCCATGCGCTAAACCTTCTACATAGGTATTTTGTGTTGAACACTACTTTTTTTCTTGCTTGCTTTGGAATAAGGTGAGTCAGAGGTTCTGAGAGTGGTCCATCTCCTGTGGAGTAGTTCGGATGGGTTTTTGAGCCGCTGCCCTCAAGGAAAGAGAGCATGCCTTGGTAAATGAGAACTTGACCTATGTTCATTGCAGTTTAGAACAGATATTTCCAAAATCCCGTCAGCTTTGAAAAAGGCAAATGCCATGCTCCAAGAATACTATCTTACTAATGGATATGATATACAAAGGATAAAAGTCTCTGAATCAACTTTCTCTCTGTAAAAAATGGGCCGTGGGAAAGTTCTCGCTCTCACTAAATAAGAACAGCAAATGTTTTTTTATATTTTTTAGCCCACCTACAGTGTTTTACTCAGCTACTGTTTTTCAGTCTAAAAGTTCAAATCCAATAATCTTGAAGGTTTTTGTGCATGTTTAAGACATTATTAATCTCATTTCAAAATCTTTGCTTTCTGAATATAAAAGCTGGTGGACTGCAGAGAGTACCATTTATGATCTCGTAAGCACAACTCATCCCTGCAAGCAGCTTATCCCAAATGAGTAGTTAGAAGAAAAAAGTTAAACAGTATTGGGTATTTATTGAGCTCGTCCACTTCAGAGACAGGATCGCCAATTCCCTGCCAGCAATTCCACCTAGGCATTTTCTCCATCCTTAGCCAAGCAGGCATGTTCAGAAGGAGCAGCAGCTTATAAATATGTTCTGTGATCTTCTGAGGGAAAACAGGTGAGAGGAGCAGGTGAGCAGGAGGGCTGATGCCTAAGCACACCTGGGGAGGAACCAGCAGGAGCTGCTGCTGGTACAGTGGCTCCTCTCCCATGTTAAAGCATTTTGGGGGCTTTATTAAAAATTAAAATGAAATGACCTTAGATAGAAGTCCCAGATGATAAGAGGATGGAGTAAACAAGATAACAAGAAGGAATTTATGTCAAAACGGCCCCTTTCATCCTGTTCATTTGATTTCCTTCGATAGGGCATTGTATTACCAAAGACCAGCAGAAGAATGTGTCTGCTAATTCACAGCAGGCTGTTCTTGGGGAAAAAGTAAGAGTTCACCACACCACTTCTTGCATAACTGACTGTGGAAATGTAAAAAAACACAGAAGAAAAGTAAAACACAGCAAAGGAAAAAACTCACAATCAAATACCAATAAAATAAGGAAAGTACTAATCAAAACATTCTTCTTTTTTTAATAGATTGAAAAAGGTGAACACTTTCCAATGCCAAACCTCACACTGCAGATCTTATTTCCCAATGTAACAGCAGCCAAGAACACTCTTCTCTACCTTACTGCATTGTCACATTCCCAAGTAAGCTAAGAATTTGTATTTTTATGACTAATTTAAATTTGAAATTTTTGCTGCAAACTGCAAAATGCAAACATTTGGGATTATGCCTTGCTTCAAGGTAGATACTGCTTTTAATCTAAAAGACAAGATGCTGGTGTTTTAAGAGTATGTACAGATGTGCATAAGAAGACAGAGAGATAAATTTTCTTAAAAGGAAGCAAGCAAATTTAAAATGGTGTTGAACAATAACTGGACTATAACAAGGTTAATTTGACATATTGCCAAGTAATGAGAGGTCCAGACTAAGATATGAGTGACAGGAGTTTCTTTCTTAGTTTTGCCTACTGAGCCTCAGATTATCTCCATTGTCAGCAATGCTTATTGCAAATGCTCTAGTCCTGCTGTGTACATCTAGAGCTCAATCTCCTGTTCAGTCCTCTTCTTTCTGTTACTGAAATTAGCTTTCCTGCACGTCTGCTTTCCAGCACTAGCAGTCCTCTGGCTTCTTCCTTCTCTCGGGCACTGAGACATCTTGAAGGGGATGGTAGGTCATGACTTTCAAATGCTTTTCACTGCAGCTCTCATTTGAGTTTTTCCATTTCACTCCTCCAGAGCAGCTGGAGGAGAGCACAATTCCACCAAATGCCATGATTCCAGATCTGAAGATATTAAAACTAGAGCTATATCAATAACTGGATGGCTGAAGAACCCAAATATCACTAAGTGGTGACCTAAACCTCTTTTTTTTTTTAATCTTTCCCTCAGAGGAACACACACATGTGCACCTCTCTCCAAATATTTCACTTAGTTTTGAGGTGTTGCACCACTGAAAAATAAACCAAATGGTCTAAATGAAAGTTCAAGGTTCACTTTAAAACAAAAAAATCCAAAAACCCCAAAATATTTCATGTTTAGAATACAAAGAAATTGTGTCTGTTCTTAAATTCCTTCCTCCATTATTTTCATTCCTAGGCAATCACCACATTTCACCCAAGTTTGCACATAAACCTAACAAATCTGTTGGTATAATTCATCTACTGCTAGCTACACCCTAGTGTAGGGTGCCAAAGTGCACTGCAGGAGATTTGCAATTCTCTTCATGCTAGCAATCTGAAAGTGAATAACCTGACTGAAAAGACAAATTCCCCCTCACCAAAGACACCAAAGGTTTTCCCAGCTGCCTTTGAAGGAGCCATGGAGGTCTAACAGTGCTCCAGCACCCGCTCCCCCTCCCTGGGCACTGCAACGGAATCCTGCGCTTAACTGCCTGCCTGCTTGCTAAGGCAGAACCTCTGTGGATTCCCATGCAAAAGCTGTTTAGCTCTTTTAATAGCCAACTGTTGCTGCTTCACATAATGGTCATCTTGCAGGAAGCTCTTGTTTGCTTCTACAGATGTTTAAGTAGCTGGACAGAGTTTAGGTTAAATTATCTCATAAAAAGCTCATTTGTTGTTTGAATAATACTTCAATACCTACACCATCAGGATTTCCTATTCTGCACTCTTGCAATATGCAGTTTTATTGCATTTAGTGGTTAGTAAGTATTATTAAAGTTATTAAATACTAAATATTATTGATGTTGGCTTGTTTCCAGAGCATTTTTTTGTAATAGATTGCATATTCAGATGAGAAGAATAATATTTGTATTTCTGCTAACAGAATGCCATCTGCCAAACTAGTTACCCTGTAGATCCCTTAAAGATCAGCACTGGGAAACCATTTGTGTTGCCAAAAATAAAAGAACCTACAAAGGATACAATTATGGTAAGCCTACATATAGTATATATATTCATCCTGGATATTAACCCAGATCATTGAGCTGAGTACTTCTGCAATAAATATGTAAAAGGTTCTCTCAGACTGTATCCTACAGAAACTCACTTTGTCTTAATAGCCTGAAAAGCCATCTTTACGTAAACTAGCTATAGTTTTTATTTGGCTACAAAACTGTACGTGGAACTCAATTTGGGGTGTTTTTTTTTTTAATTTAGCAAGCGTGTAAATAACAGTAACACATTTGACAGCTGAGTAAATCTTCACCTTCTATATTCCCATTGCAATTAATAAATAGTAGTATTTTAAAAGCTTCTCATCTCCCTTGCAACTTTTTTAGACATCCAGTTGAAAATACTTTCAAATCCTAGCACTCTGATCTGACAGATTTTCCATGCAACTGGTAGAAATGCAATTGCTGATCCCATTTGGAAAGGATTAGCCTCTCACATTTAGATGGAAGAGTTGCAAAGTAATTTTGTTTCTGTAGTTATGTTGGCACCTCAGGGGAAAAACCGTCATACTACTTCCTCAGCATAAAGGTACAAGTTGAGTTTCTGGTGCAAATGAAACCATGCCATGAGAAGGGTGTTTTGCCATGCTTATCATAGTCCTTCACAGGTGATAAAGGTCTAGGCTAAGCAAATGTTTCCAAAGGGTTGAACATAATTCTGCTGCCCTTCCAGCTAGCAAGTGATACTGGGAAGTAAAGATACTTAAATTTTCACACATACATCCTGCCCTGCTTGAAAGATTCAGGTGTTCCACGATTTGAAAGGATCAAGAAACACTGCAGAGAAGCCATAGCTGTGTTGGCAGAAGAACACTTGCTGTTACAGGCTGTGCCTCTTCTAGGAGCTCTGCTGATGCCTTTTTCTGCGTACCTACAGTAACAGAGCTTCCTCAAGGCTAAGCGAGCCTGCAACACCTGAGTCTGTTCTACCATAGCATGAATATCTCAACTCATTTTATATACTGCAGTGTCATTTTTACATAAAAAGCCCCAGTAATAAATATCAGTTTAGTAGTGGTGTCATAGCAAATCTATAATTTGTATTTATAGTAGTTTACAAGTTTTTATTTTAGTAATGTGAAAAGTCTCTTCCTATTAAAACATGCTGGTGCCTTTTAAACAGGACTGTGATACATACAGCTGTGCATCTATTAATTGTGCCCTGGTCCCATCTGACATATATCAAGTGAATGTTTCATTAAGAGTATGGAAACCTACCATGATAAAAGTAAGTAAATCCCATTTGTATTCAGAATACTCCTGGGTTTGAGAAACTTAAGCCAATGTTTCTGATGTCTATTAAAATTATACCTTTCATTTTCTTAAGTCTCCACAGTCCCGTAGTATTTGAAATCGTTTCTCTATTTTAAAATTTCCTCAAACTAAGTTATATGCATTTTATTCTCCTTAAAGTAAGTACTTAGAACTTAGCAGGAAATTTCAAAACATGGAAAGAAGACACCCCTTACTTATTCTTTATTGGTGGTCTTTTTTTTAATAGCTACTCATGCATCCACAAATTCTAATTCAGCAGATATAAGCAGGGGTACATAGAAGCATATAAGTTTTAAATAAGTTTTAATCTGGAAAGATTTCTCAAGTCTAGAAAGGATTTTTTGATCAAAAAGAGCAGAGGAGAGAGAGTCCACCTTAGAGCACACCTCAGTATTGTCTGATAGTTACAACAATGACCAGGCTGTGGTCTGTTTTGCTCAGTTGATAAATTTCTGACTTCCTGATTTGTGTCTTTGTTTTTCTCTGGAAAATAACAGGACAGGAGGGGAGATACAGCAGAATTTTAGAAAGCCTGAGTCTGTCCCTGTGGCCAATTAGTATTCCAGGATTAACCAGTCTTTCTTTGAAATCCCTGCTCTCTACTCTTTCAAAGCTGTATTGCTGTCTTATAAACAGTTATATGTGTGTGCTGAAGGTGGCAAACATGAGCAGCTTCACTGACTTTCACATTTTTCAGCATCTTCCAAAATTTTAGCATTAAGTTTTTCTTTCACCCTTCTCATTTCTACAAAGCTTTCTACTTCAAAATACCTAATTATAAACCGTAGCCATTTCTCTCTTCTTCCAGGCAAGTATTCACAGCTTAACCCTTGTTGTGAAAGCATTACTTAGGAGTGAGAACTCATCACTGATTTTGAGAAATGACCATCAAAAACTGGAGGTAAGAACATAATAATTCATGGATTTACTCTTCATAGGATTTATTGTGCTACTGAATAATTCATTTTCATTCATTACTAGTGAACTGATTGTTACCTGTTGTAATGTATTATCCTACTCCAAATAAAAGTAAGTGATTTCATATTACAGTAGAAATGTCAATTAGTCAGATGATGATACCAAAATCCCATTACCCACCACTGCAGCTGGTGAGAAGTACTGTCTGAAGTATTTCTGCCTGCTGCCACATAAATGCTTCTTGCATCTATGTAAATTAAAAGCATAATTAAAATTCTTTTAAGGAATCAGTAATATTTTAATAATTGTTATGGGTCATTTAGAGGTGATCTTACTTTGTATATTGTATTTTCTTTATTATTTATTTATTATTTCTTTCCACGTCATTACCCAGGATATATATTTGAAACAGAATCTTCAATTTTTCAGAAGTTCCCTGTCATTTTCTTAGATAAGAAAGTATATAACATTATAGTAGTGGTGTCAGGTATGAAGAGAAATGTCTTTAATTTTGTTAGAGTTGTTATTTATCCTTTAATACTCTTTATTCCAAGACATTTATAGTGGTTAATGCATTGCTTTTCTGTGATAACTTGTACATGCAGGGACTTATTTACTACAATGCACATTTTTAAGCAAAAGTCTTATTATGTGTTATTATTGTTAATACCCGTCAAATTTAGAGCAAAGTAATATTCAGTGTGAATTACATCTTGTGCAAAATATTTTTGGAAATACAAACATCACAGGTCAACTATTAGCTGGTATTGTATTCAGGCATTTCTTTTAAGTGATAGATTAAAAAAACACAGTGAAAACACAGCTGAGGGGCTTGCAGATAATGAGAGCTCTCTTTACAAACCAAGGAATTTCAGAATTAACTTTTTTAAGACAAAATTTCAAGTTGAATGTTTAGTGTTCGGCTTTTCAATGCTTTTTTGAGCTATAAAGTTGTGTCTCTAATAAATTTTTAAGATTAAATAATTCAAACTCCTATATGGTCATGTTTATTTAAATGTGAATATTCCTTATTTTGGTTTGGTTTACATCAGATATGCCTGGTTTAAAATCAAGCTAGTATCTACACAGCCTTTTACACTTATTTCATTTAATTGGTTTAGAAGCTTGTTCATCACTGCCACCTTTCAGGGAGGCAGGCATTGAGTGATGAAGAATATACTGAAGAAACTCCCTAACATACACTTCAACTACTCACAGTTTTGGTCCTGCATCCTTTATAACAATGACTACTGACTTACAGTAGGGCTGACCTTTATGAAATTAATGTACATACAAAGTGCAAGGTACTACGTAAATATAGGGTTTCATGTTGGAGATTATTTTCTCAATTCCCTCCTACAAATTCCTGTACTTAAAATGAAGTGGTATACCCTGGAAAATCACTGCATACTGATAAAAATCATGCGCTCTGTCGAAGGACAAGTTATTTACAAAGTTACATTCTGAACACTTTGCAGACCATGATTAAGATTTCCAAAGAACTCCCACCAGGTACAGTCCCCTTATGGGTTATCCTCCTGAGTATCTTCGCTGGACTCTTGATTCTTGCACTGCTGATCTTTGCTTTGTGGAAGGTAAGCTGCATGTTCTTGTCTTCATGAAAATAAACAAATATGCTTAAATGCTCTGCCGTGTCCTTCTCCTAATTAGAACCTCACAGATACTAATCTTATCTAATAAGTGGAGTGAAATCTTGTAGAAATGACAAAATAACTAATAACACTACATTTTTCTGATATGTAACGTGCAATGCTAACCAATTGAAACCTGTATTGCCAATACGTTATGAAAAGAAAAATAAAAAGAGATTTTAGTACGATTAAGGGTTTATTAGAGGCTTTTTAACTAGCTCTGCTGTGGCCTTTGATAACCAGGTTTTCTCTTTGTGCAAGAGATGCTAGGCCTGTGGTGTAAGTATTGCCACAAGTGGGCACTCTTCTCCAAGCTAAATATTTAGTTCATACTTGTGTTAGAAGATTACAGTTTATAAATGTTAACATGCATAATCTCTTGAAAAATTTGACAGGTATAAAATAAAGTATTATTTATTCAATTGAGTACCAAATATTATTAAGTGCCTTAATTTAGCCTTCGACATTATGTGAGCATAACAATGATTCAGCAATCATTCACTATCTGTTAACTGTACTCCTTTTGTCTGTTTTCATGACATGTCTCTTTAGTTTTTCCGTTCCAGGAAAAACAATGTTGTACTTCAGTGATAAACTATTAAATGACTTTCTACTGTACTGAAAGTATCAAAATAGTAGTAGTTCTTAGTCACTTTTTTCTTTTCTGCAGGCTGGATTTTTCAAGAGACCACTAAAGAAGAAAATGGAGAAATGAAGAAAAAAAAAAAATGCAGAAATTTTTGCTCAGGTCTGCCTCAAAAATATTACTGTAAAATTATAAACTTAGATGCAGTAGTCACAATGTTTTCTAAACTCCGGTGTGTTAAAAAAACAAGAAGCAGAACAAGAAGAAGCAAATCAAGCACACATGCAAAGGAATGATGCAAAGGAAGAATAAACAGCCTTATGGCATTTTGCGATACTCAAGGACATACTTTCAAGTGTTACTCATTTTTGGAGAGTAACTAAGTTCAAAGATTCTAATGTTTTTTAAATATGGAAAATGTGTAATCATATTTTTATATACCTATCTATGGGGAATCATTTTTCATTCCAAATTATGCAACAAGTCAGCTTGTATGTAGCAATCCCAGTCTTTTTTATCACCTTACAATTTTCAGAAGGAAAAAGCATCATTTTCAAAATTTCCTCTGAATGTCGGTTCTGTGAAAGCAGACTGTAAGTTCACGAAACAGAACATGCAAGCTTTGAGAATGCACCAAATACTGTACGGTAACTGATGTAATGACAGTTTAGAAGATAGAAGCACCTGCAGAATTTTGGGTGAAAATTACTTAAATACCTTGGACTTCTTTTTCTGCTTGTTTTAGCATGTCCAGCTGAACCCAGGATACTCCAAGAAAGAGATTTTTATGGTCAAGCAGACCATAAAGGATTGATCCATTAAATTACATAACTGTTTAACTTGAAACAGATTTTTGGCAGGCCTAAAAATGAATGCACAAAACATTCAAGCCCAGCTGATTGCACACTGTACTCAAACAAGCAGGGGCAAAATTGTATCTGCAAGTTAAAATGTCCATATTTATGCAGAAAATGTTTAGAGGTACCCTGAAAGTTTGACTCTTGCTGTATATCTTGGAGTAGCCAGGAGGGTACTTCATAAACTGTCACTGTAAATTTATTGTGTAGCTATTTAATCCAGTAAGTTTAAAGTGTACAAAATGATAATTAACAAAAGAGCACAGACAGTAAATTCAGCACTGGCAAGCTTCTTCTAGTATTATAGGTCACACCTCATCTTTGTTACTTCTGAGTTTAAGAAGTGATGAAGAATTTGCATACTAAATAAGCACTTAACAAATGATGTTTATTTTGTGTCAAAGATTAAAAGTTTATATGACAATACACTGAAATGTAGATAGCAAAAGATTTCTTTAAGAAATTTTTTCTTCCTATTTAGACTGTTCAGTTTCCTCCTTTCTTTCACGCACTTGTCTTCCTTCCACGAGGATCCCTCCCTGGGGCTCTTGGGCTGTGCCTTGTCCTTGAGAGCTTCCTCTCTTGCAGCCACACAAAATTAGCAGAAGAAAATGGAGGCGTGCTGGCAAAGCATGATGTTCCCTCAGCATGAGACAAGTTGGTATTGATTGCCAATAGATCAGAAAACGTTGAGGAGGTGTACTAAGTACTGTAAGACGTACTTGTTTGCAGAAAAGCCTTGCCTTGCCAAGGAAGCCAGGAAAATTTGTTCCTCCTCTTGGTACAAATGTCACTGAAATGAAAAAAAAATCTTTGCAGTTTTCCAAAAAGTTTTAACTTAGCACTGACTTCATAGTAATAGCTTAAAAAGCAGTAATATATTTTATAAAGACTTTTTTTTCTTTAAGGAGAGACCATAGGTTGGGTTAAACATGCTGGCAAGTACAACTCTGGAAGTGTGTCAGAAGGTGCTTTACTGTTTGAAAGATGCTGTCACTCTTAAGTCCCTTCTATTTCATTCCTAAATTAGAGAGAGTAGTTGTTGGGAAAGGCTGAGACTTATGTGAATGCAGCCAGCAGGATTAAGTTTGAAAGTGTTTGCAATTTCTCCTGTGTGTCTGTGGGAAGGGTGGTTATTTCATAACAACAGTCTGCTGAAGGTAGCAGCATGACTCAGAGGAGAGGGCAAAGTCCTCCGTGGGAACGCTGTGGGTGGCTGTGCTTTGCGGCGCCTGGGAGAGCCACCGAGCCAGCGGACTTGCTTGCTGTGCTCGTCTGCACGCCTGAAAGTGCACCCTACCTGAAGGGGTAGGAGGTGAATTGCCCTGGTTGTGAGCACAGAAGGAAGACTTGAATGGAAGCAGAAAAATGACATAGAGGAGCTGTGGGTAGAATCCCTGCTTCATTCATTGTGCGAGTTAAATAGTCCTCGAAGGAAGGCAAAAATCCATTTGTTGAACAGTGAAGATAAATTAATATTTGCAGAGGTGTCTTCAGTCCCGTGTGAGATGCAGGTTTTACTTCAAGAAAACGTATGATTTTGCCAATTTGTTTGAAAGATTTGAATGGCACTTGTCACCATAGCATCTGAATGCCTCAGAATTGTAAAAGTTTTTTCCTCATAGTATCTCTGTAAAGGCATAGCAGTGCTCTTATCCTATTATGGTTTTGTAAAGGAACAGAATTATGAAGGAATTGTGACTCACCTATGCACACATAGAAAGTCTGTGGTAGCAGAGGAAATAGTTATATTTATTATTATTCAGCCAGTTTGTTAACCATGAGGTCATTTTTCCTGGCTTCATAAAATTACTCACAAGTTGTGCAAGCCATACATCATTTTTATGCAGCATACTTTTATTTTGTTTAAGTGGTTCACTTTTTAGTTATGATAAGCTGTTAACCAGAGCTTCTTACTTTTCTGATGACATTTCATGTCTTATTTTAAAGTATCAGCCTAACTGAAAAAATATAAGTCAATAGAACAGTCTATTTCCCTAGATAGACTATGCAAAACCCAAGTATTTTATTAATGCAAAGTATGTTTGAGATCAGTGTTCCATTCTTCTTAGAGTTGTTTTGTACTGTAAAAACAGTAATAAGCTTCACATAACCACACTGCTTTACTCTTTGTCATGATGCTTTCTCCCTTTTCACCTTTGTCCTATTATCAGATTTTCAATTATTATATCTATTTAAACTATAAGTATGTAAAGGGGATAGCACTATAGCACATTATTCTTACACAGGCTAAATTAGTAAAATCATTCTTTTTATCCATAAAAGTCTATCCACAGCACTACAAGAGCAGTATTTTACTGCTTTTCACTATATACAACAGAAAAGCCTACTGAAAGCAGTATTACAAACATCAGGAACACCTCACTGAAATTTGGCAGGCACAAAAAATATCAGAACAGCATGTAATCTGTTTTGTTCCTATAAAAAGACACACTAGGGTTGTCATACGATTCTAGTAACTAACAAGCTAAACATTTTTTCATTCAAATAAAAGCCTGTAAAAAAAAAAGATAATAATAAACTGGGTGTATAACCAGAGTTTAAGCCACGGAGGGAGTCTAGCCCAGCTCAGTTCCTAACTTCAGCACTGAAGTAGCTAATCTTAGAGGGAATGGACAAGCTATGTTTCTATAGCATAGAACTTCTCTGGAAAGGAGCAAGAGCTTTAAATCATCGCTCCTGCTTGAATTTGAGACTGTTCTAGTGGTTGTTGATCCCATGTGTAATTTTGGAAGACTTACAAAACAGCACTACATTAGAGCAGTCTCCCTGGGCTGCTGCTTATGCTCCTGTGCTTGTCTGGTGTCACTCTAGGTCTGTATTATAAGCCCTTGCTACAGACACAACCCACCTATCCTGACCCCTTACCTGAGGCTTTTAGAACATATCCTGTGCTGAGTCATTTTGAGCATGATGTTCTTCTTCTGCAGAGCCTGAGTCAGGGGAATCCACCTTCACCAAGGGTTTTCATCTCACTTGGCACGAGAGGCTGGAGTTAGGGTCACACTCATCTAATGAATTCCACATAGTCTAATTGTTTTAATTTCTTGAAGTAACTAGGGTATAGATGATGATCCCATTCAAAAATAAAAGCAGAGCAAGAGAATCAGAATGTACTGTTGTTGTTTATACCACTTACTAGGAATAAGAGGGGATATGCATCCTTTTTAAGAAAATCACAAGATTCTATGCAGCGTTTTATTTTTCCTGTAAAATTATTCCATGTATTTTATTGATTAAAAAAAAAATTAAAGAGTCTAGCAAGCCTCCTTTGTAGTTTGTTTGCTTTTCATTGATATAGGAATAGTATAAAGGCATCTCAGTACCTAAAAACAAATCCATCTACCTGTCAATAGAAAGCTATTGTAGAAATAAGCATAAGCACAGCATAACATCAAGGAAAGCTTGAATGTGGTCAAGTTGTCAGAAATACATTGCCATTAATTGTATGGGTACCGTAACTATAGCCACATTTGAAAGCTTTTCAGAGGACCATACGACTTCCTGACACAGATTTATTTTCATGACATTGCATACATAAAAGTTGAAGACACATTAATTCATCTAACCATTCCTCCTATCTAGTGATTTTTCTGTACAACTTATTCCTGTGACCCAAATAGTCCGTTGTCTTGCATAGTTGTAAATGATTCACATCACCTTCCTTAAAGCCTAGTAAACATTTGTATCAAAACTTCCTAGAAGACAAAGATTACACCTTTTATATTACAGTTAACTTTTAGAAAACATTACAAACCATGTAATTACTCAACTGTTATCTCATCAGAGACTACTTTGATGGTGAATCACAATTCTCTAATAGCAACATCCTGTCTAGTCATAGGGCAGTGCTTACCAAATGTCCTACTCTGTATATATCTGGTCATTAGAGTTTGCTGGACCTTTTCATGGGAGTATTTCAATGAACATCAGAAAAAAGGCCACTTCTGTTTTTGTTTGTTTGTTTGTTTTAAATTGCTTTTCAGTGGAATTAAAAAAGAACTAGAATCACATTCTCACAGCAAGAAGTGTAATGTTATGTATCATTTGTACAAAACTGGATTATAATTCATTGCATTTAGCAGAAGCAGCCCTAACACTTCACAGTTCAAAGGCAATAGCAGTTCATGCAGTGGGTGTGGTCTGAGCCCTCTAAGAATGAAGAGTCATAAAGTTTAAAGCACTGATGCAGTTTTAGTAATAACGGGCTCATACCACAGTTTAGACAGCACAACTGGATTCTGCTTAAAGAAGCAGATGATAAAGTGAGCAATCCTCAATGCAATCATGTTTTAATTATAAAGACTGAGGGCTGAGAGCCCAGCGATATTGGACTTTGCTCATTCAGTCAAAAAGCGGGTG